TCCCAGCTGGCATCTAAAGATCCTTTTCTTCTTCCCTACAACAGTCCTTCACTTATTTTTAGCTTTACTTTTTAGTTTCCTTCTCCATTCATATTCAAAATATGGCAACCATCTCGAGAAAGAAGTTAGTATCTGCATTAATTAGAGTTTCCATTGTTGGGATAAAAGAACATGGGGAGAAAAGGATTTATTTCTTCTTCTAGTTTGTTGTCCATCATCCAGGAGAGCCAGGGCAGGAACCAAAGGCAGGAACCTGGAACAGGAACTGAAGCAGAGGTCACAGAGGAGTACTGCCTGCTTTCATGGCTTGTTCAGTCTGCCTTCTTATAGTACCCAGGATCACCTGCCCACGGGTAGCATGGCCCACAATGGGCTGGAACTTCCCACATCTGTTGGGGAAGTCCTGTGTATTTGTCAATAAAGCACTGCTGCCCAATAGGAATCTAGATAGGTGGGACTAAGAGTCCAGGAGAACTCTGGGAAGGAGAAACAGAGAGTCGAGATGTAACGCCATGGGGTAGGAAGCCCGGAAACTTCTCCGGTAAGAGACATACTTAGATTAACAATTATGGGGTAATTACTTAAGTCAGAGCTAGCCAGTAAGAAACAAGCAAGGCCAACGGCTTCATAATTAATATAGCCTCCTGTGTGTTTATTTGGGACTTATGCGGCTCTGGAATCAGGCTGGCGGGAAGGCTTCTCTCAAAGAAAAAGCTTCTCTTAACACACATCGGTCACTAATTAAGAAAATATATTACAGATTTGACTATAGGCCAGTCTTATGGAGACATTTTCTAAATTGAGAGTCCCTCTTCCTAAATGTTGACGTAAAACTAGTGATCATAGAAACTATTTGGTCCTTGCTATAGTGTAGATCCTAAGGCAGGTGAATTTACTCTCTGCCTTTCTGACCCTAGTCCTTTTTCTTTTTCTTCTTTTTGGTTTTTCCAGACAGGGTTTCTCTGTATTGTTTTGGAGGCTGTCCTGGAACTCGCTCTGTAGACCAGCCTGGCCTCGAACTCACAGAGTTCCACCTGCCCCTGCCTCCTGAGTGCTGGGATTAAAGGTGTGTGTCACCAACGCCTGACCTCAGTCCTTTTTCTACTCGAGGCATTTTCCATATACTCCATAGTCAGCATCAGCTGTGGTTTTAGCTTCCCTGGTTTTTACTCCCCTATTCTCATCTATCTGCCCTTGAATAGCTCTGTTAATTCCACTTTCCTTTAGACCAGTCCTTCTAATCCTTGGCAGATCCATTTTTTTGGACCTTGCTGAGACCTACTAAGAGACCACAAGGAAGCAAAGAGGCTGAAATTGTGGCTCAGGAAGTGCACCTCCTCTTCTTGAGTCTGGTGCATAAAATCCTCTTGCCTCTGCAGCTTGCCCATAATCTTAACACTAGAATTAAAAATGTAAAGCCAGATTGTTACATCAGTAACAGTGTTGAGAGATAAAAACCAATTTACAAATAAATAGCCCCTGTCAGTATTATTCAAAGGTTAAATTTGCCAGAACAATCTAATTTCAGCTGCAAATCCACAGCTCCACACACATAGGTAAAGGTTGACGTAACTGCACCTGGAAGCAAACTCACAAGATGCATTTTTTTGTGTCTACCTATTTAGGTAGGTACAGTTTGAAAGTTTGAAAACACAGGTCTTTCTGTAGTGCTGTATTTCAAGAGTAAACAGTAAATGGATTCAGTAACAAATGTCAAGAATGAAAAGCTTCCCCTTCCGTCTGACAGGTGCTATCAGATGTGCTGAAATCACCGATACAAGTTCACTCAGGAGCCATGGAGAAAGACACAGGCCTATGGGGTGCACTTTCCCCTGAGAGTTCCCTGATGGCAGTAACACTAGATCTCTGGGCTGTGTGGGAGCTCTCTGCTCCATTCGACTTTTGAAGATAGGAATAAAGGAGAGATTATATAACATAAGACTTGCTGTGCACCCTTAACCAGTTAAATTTGTTCAAAACCTTTTCAGTCCATTTCAGAGAATAAAGGTGGACACTGTGTGGGATTCTGAGGGTCTTGAATTCTTACTGGGTTGATGAGGATTCCACGTGTATATTTTTTGAGGTTATCCTCTTGAACCCATGCTATATAGCTCTCAGAAGATATCCTGGATCACAAGAGCAGGCTACAAGCACAGGTAGATATAGATTACTCTGATGCTAAAACCCACATCCAGCTTTTGATTTCAGGTTGTTACAGCATGAGAGACAATCATGGGTCAGGTGCTCACTTGAGTATTTAGCTGGGCTGAGGGTGTTGAGAGTTAACTCAGTGCTGGCAAGCACAGTGTTAGGAGATAGGATCCATGTATACTTTCATATGGCTGGGGCCAGAACAGAGGAAATTTCATATGTCAAAGTCACAGCAAACTCGGGAATTGGAAAATTCTGATTTTGGATGACATCTGGGAGTGGCAGCAGGGGTTGTAAGGTGAGCAAATTGTGACAGCTCTGAATATGAGGAATTTCCCACAGGCTTCCACTACAGAGTATTGAGTGAGATCATAAAACTTTTGAAATGGCTTGGACAGAGCTCTAACAGGTTGACTCCCTTACTTGCAAGGTGATCAGAGCCAGTGGGTTGGTTTAACTTTCTGGGGTTGACTTATTTGTCCTTTGTTTGTCTGGGGATTAACGTACTAGAGGGTTTTCCTATCAAGGTCCCCCAGCATCTCTCTTCTGACATGTGGTATCATATCATTGAGGGTTTCATCAGGGCCATCGCAGTGAAAATGATGACATTGATGATAGTGGTGACAGTGAACTGCAGCTTGTCATTCTAAGAATCCTACAAACATTAACTGGACCTGTGTTTGGTGGGGGCCTTGACTTCCAGACAAGGAGGTCAGGTGTTTGAGGTTTGTCGTTGCTGTTCGTCCAGACACATATTTTATCAGGCCTCTGGCATGTCTCCCTTGCTCTCTCTTCTGTGCTTCTGTCTGCTATCCCTAGGAGGAGTACTCACTAGTTCTGCCTGTCTCCTTGCAAGAGTGAAATGCTAATGTTCTCTGCTTTGAAAGGCTAGCATTTAAGCCTATGACCTAGATTTGTGTCCTAGTTTCTCAAGAAAACGAGATCAGGAAAATGAGAATCAGATATTTTTAGCTTTTGTGTTGGGAGGGAAATTCTGCTGATACATGAACAGGGTTCAAATACTGGGCATGGTGGTGAGTTTTAAATGTCATCTTGACACAGTCTGAAATCATATGGGAAGGGAGTCTCAGTAAGGAATTGTCCAGATTGGGATTGCCTGTTGTGTCTGTGAGGGGATTTCTTAGTTGGGTTAACTGAAGCAGGAAGGCCCACCCTAAATGTGGATGGCACCATGTCCTGGCCTGGACCCTGGACTGAGTGAACAGGAGAGACTGAGCAGAACTCTGGCAATGATGCATGCATTTAGTCTGTCTCTCTGCTTGGCTGTGGATGACACTAGTTGCCTCAAGTTCCTGCAGTGATGTCCCAGCAATGACAACAGTTACCTGGGGCTGTAAGCTGAATGGAAAACAAAAGACCTCAAGAGGGGGGTTCTTATCTACATGGCACTCTTTTCCTGCCATGGCGCTCAACTCATTCAGGATACTAAATACTGGAACAACTTATATTCCTGCTGCTAGACAGAGTTCATGCCAAGCATCATTTTGGGATAGTTATTTAGCAATTAATATCTTCTTCAGGTAAAATGCAAATGAAAGAAATAAGATGGAATAAGATGGGTTAAAAAGCAAGTAGGGAGTAAGTTTTCTGATAAGCATAACTAGCTTTCCCTCCTCCTCTTGGAAAAGGCACCAACAACTTATCTAGTAGCCTAAACCCCGATTGGCTAGCCTTGTGTTTGAATTTGTGTTGATTAGATTTTTCTAGAATGGTAAGATACATTAATGTTCCTGTGCAGTCATGTACCAATGTTTTACTTTTGTAGACCTGTTTTGTCCTTGTACTAACCCTACGATTTATCTGTTTAGTTTTGTTTTATTAAATAGACAGAGATTCACAAATTTGAGTGGTCAGCCTAAGGCCTCACAGCAAGCAAGTAACAAATAATTGAAACCCACACGCAACCAAAAATACTCTCTTGTATCTTGATAAATCACTAAAACTTAAAACATTTTAGTGTTTTATCATTATTTTCATGTGTATGGGTATTGACTTACAAGCATGTCTGTGTACCACATACATGCCTGGTGTCTAGGAAGGCCAGGAGAGTGTGTCAGATACCCTGAAACTGGAGTTACAGATGATTGTGAGCTGCCATGTGGGTGCTGGGTCTTGAACTTGGGTCCTTTGGCAGAGCTTCTATTGCTCATAACCACTGTGCCTTATCTCCAGCCCCCAAATGCAAAATAATTTGTGCAGAATTAAAGAAAAGTTTTCATTGTGATAATTAGGTAATACTTTAAAGCATTAATTATGCACCTAGTACATGGCATTTGTATTTTAGTTTAGAATTATTGTTATAATTAATATGTGGTTCATATTGATTAAAATGCAAATGTAACTGCATATCATATAAAGAACAGTAAATGATGAAAGCAGAAGCTTTCCAACTTAATTGGAACCTATTAAAAATGAAAGAAGCAGCCTCATTTTGCAGAACAAGTCAAGTATGCTGGTTTAGGATAGTAAGGCAGGAATGGCTTTGCTGTCTATGAAAACACACACACATTGTTCTGAGTCCTGTATGGAATTCAGTGTTCATCATTAAAATTAAATATGAGCGTTTGATCAATGTCATGAGGTCTTCTCTTAAAGTCTTTTGAATTTAAATTTCATGATTCTGTTTTCCTTACTTCTGAATAATGAATTATAATTATATTATGAAGTTTTTTTTGGTGGAATCTACTTTATAATTTCTGTTTGTAATTAAAGAGATTTTCAAATATTTCTAAGCAGTGTTTTGCTGAGTGTGAACATTTACCCAGCAGGTAGCTGGATAGCTTTTACATAGAGTATGCTTATTTTTATTCTTCACAATTTTTTCCTAGATGATTCCAGCCCCAGGCAGCTATGATGTTCAGAAATCGTATGATATGTCCCAGGTTAAACACAACTACATGCCACCTCGTAGTTCAGTGGCTAAAAAGAAACATTCCTCCTTCCTGAGTGCAGCTCCTCGGTGCCTGGGAAAAATTGCTGAAGGGCCAGGTAAGGCAGACTGTTCTTTGAGGCCACAGTGGTAATAGTTAAACTACATAGACTTTCCCGTCAGAAGAAAAGTGGGAATAGTGAAAACTGTGAGGCTTTATTTTCACATGTAAAATTTGTCTAAGGTCTTCTGTTTCCTAATTATTCTCAAGACTTTTTTATCAGTTTTAGTTGACATTCTGTTTGTGAAAAACCCAGAAGTTTCAGCACATGAAAAGTTTTTAAAGGAGAAAGGCGGTTTCCCTGATTTGGAAGTCAGTACAATACAAGAAATACATGCTAAGAAAAACTAATTGGGTGTTTTCAAGTATCAAGAAAGCAGTCTCAATTGTTAGCTTTGTGAAATGCCTAAGGCAGTGCTGAAGCATATCTGTAGGTGTTCCTGTGAGTGTTCTCAGACAGGGTTAACTGAGGCAGGAAGGCTGTCCTGAATGAGGATTAGCTCTGAGGGGTTAGGTGTTGGGATGAGTGAAAACGAGAAAGGACAACGCCAGGTGAATGCTGGCCCTTGCCTTTCTGTTTCTTGGTCCACTGAGATGAGAGCAAGTGTCCTCTTTGTGCCGTGGACAGGAGTGGTCCTGTGACCATGCTTTCCCTGCCATCATGGGTTCCATTGCTCAAACCAGGAGCCCAGGAAACTCTTTCCCCTTCATTGTTTCTTGTCAGGATTAGGTCAGAGCAGTGAGAGAAGTGCCTAGTCTGGCAGCGAAAATAAAGATAAATATACATTTGAAGGTCGAGAGTTATAAAAATGATTTTGATTCTAAAACTTGGCACTGGATCTGCTGTTAGTGTTGCGGTCTATAAGTGAAGTCATGACTAAGCCTGGCAACAAAGGTTAGTCAGTTAGTTTACATCATCCACAGCAAAAGCAGACACACAGCTCCTGCAGCAAACGTGTCGTCACTAAGTAAGCCGTTAGTACTGAATCTTTGGAGATTAAGAAACTTCCTTTTGTTGTCATTTTCAGGGTCCCATGGCCATCCGTGTGGCCATCAGCATTCAGGCAAACTTCCTAGTCATCCGAGGGCTTTCTGTACATGTGCAGCATGGCCAGGCAATGTATTGGTGGTGTAGCTAGTAAACCCCCACACACATGCGCTAAGTGACCTTTAGAAGCAGACACACCTGACCCACGTTCTCGCTCACCTCGTCTTTTCCAGACAGCCTGTGCCCACCACCTTCCTCTACTCTTACTAATAAAACTCTTAAGTGGGTTTTGTTGTATATCTTATGGTCTATTCCCGTGCACAGAAAATAACACCTTTTTCAGAGCTTTCAGTGAAAAGCTAGAGACTATAATCTATCATACGGTAGCAGAACTCCTGAGATCAACTTTAAGTTGAAATTGAAATTTTACTGTGTTCCTTCCTCCCTTCCTTCCTTCCCTCCCTCACTCCCTCTCTCCTTTCCTCCCTCCTTCCTTTCCTCATTCCTTCCTATCTGAGCTATTGTACCATTGTTACATTGTCAAATTTAGTATGACAAGAGATTCTTTGCTTCTTTTGATATATAACATTATTGAAGGAGACCGCTGCATGGCAGGGGGTTTCCTCCCAGACCCCAGAGTAGGCACAAACCACAACCAAATACCTGTTTTCACAGACAGATCCTTGGTTAAGCAGGGAAGAAAGTTAAAGTGGCTGCTTTCTGACTCAGGCAGAAAACAGCAGCAAATGGCCTTACAGGTGTCATTCGTAAGAGGAGTAGAAGGGGATGTCTGTGTTAGAATGGACTAGAATGAGGTGGTGAAGGAGATAAGAGGACAAGGGGGAAGGGGACAAGGGAAAGGGAGCAGGCATATTTGTCCCAGAGGGACAAAGGACTGTCTCTGGATAGAGAGCAGGCAGACATGACCCATAGGCAAATGCCGGTTTATAAAAGTAAAGGGGGAAAACCCCAGGTTAGGATGAGGTGTTTAATTTTAATTTGTCGTGTTAATTGGGTGAACTAAAGGGGGCTTCTGATTGCTGAACCTTGGTAGATGGTCTTGGGAGGAGGAAGTGACAGAATAAGAGACAGAGCTTGGTGGCTGCCTTTAGGAATGCCATCTAAAGGGTTTTTAGCAAAGGGAATGAATGGGGAGAGGGCAAGGCCTGCCAGACCATGCTGCCTTGCTCTAGCTGGCCAGAGCTCTTCCATCATCGCTGTGTTTTCTGGTGTAACTACCTGGTTTCTACCTGCAGTTCCTAATAGTTCTCATTTTTGCCAGAGTTAAACAAGTGTATTTGATATTTTTCAAAAATAATCATTTTACAATAAAGTATAATGACAGCAGGTTTGTTTCTTTCGTGTCCCATGTCAGTGCTTGTTTTAAGACTGGTGTCCTCTCACATAATCCACTTGTGAGAAATAAAGTTGTGAAAAATTGTTTATTCTCCTTGCTGTTTAGTCATTGGTAGTTTTGTTTCACTTTATTAATTTAAAAAACTTTCTTCTTATGTGCATGTCTAAGTGCCTGCATGTATGTTTGTATGCACACCTGGTGTGTTCCTGGTGCTAGAGGCCAGAGAGGGGCATTGGATTCCCTGGAGCTGGGGTTACAGGCAGTTGTGAATCACTGGAAATGGGTGCTGGGAACTGAACCCAGGTCCAGTTCTCCTAACTGTTGATCTTGTTTTACTTTAATAACTCAGGGAAGGACTTTTTCCTGTAAATGTAAAATTCATTGTATGCCAAGTTATTTATAGTGCTATGCTATATGTAAAAAGGAAAATGTAGTACTATTTGAGTTTAAGGGTATGGTATGCATAGGACTTTGCTTTATAGAATTAAAGAATATATATTATTATCTATTTTACTTTCAAATAAAATGGAAACTTAAAACCAGTTTCATGACTTTTTATATTTGTAGATAAAAATTTAAAAATAGAAGTTGATAAATTTACGTGCAATCTTATAACATTCAGATTTAGAAAATACTTATGTATTGACTCAGGATTTTATTGTCATGTTTTTATTTTAAATGACTTTAGAACTTTAACCGATATGGAAGGATTTTGTCTTAATTACAAAGGAAGCCTTTTATTTGACTGCATATATTTAAGAAAGATAAAACTCATTTTCATTAGTCTAAATTAAACAGGGAGAGAGTATATTTGCAATCAGTATGCTGTATTCCATTAAATGTTGTGTAACCAATAAAAACACATTAGAATCATTTAATGAAGAAATTATTAAATGAGGTGTATCACATTATAAAGCAATCTCCTTTTATTACCTCAAGTTTTAATTCATGGGTATGTAAATGATTTTGTGATTGATCCAACTCAGGTAATGTGAAATTGCTAAGTGGAAAAGTACTTAAATATTACTTTACCTCTTATATTGACCTGCTTTGGAACATTTAGTAGGGAGAATGCTAAGCATTTTTAAAGAGAAAGTGGGTGATAAAAGCATTTTTGAGAGTAGGAAGTTGGAGACTCTCCTACTTAGAGGTGGATGTGTAACTTACTATCAGAACAGGTTGGAAGAATGTTTAAAATATATATGATGTTTGACCCCAATTCTATTTCTAAGGTTACCCTAATGTAGTTGTCCATGGGATGCTTATACCCAGCATCAGCAACAACAGTTATCAAATTGAAATTTATTTTCCTAAATGAAAAGCAAGGTTCAGTTAACTAAAATATCAACCTTAATAGAGTTCTGTTTTCAAAAGTAGAAATGCTTTATCTTTTATAAAATTTGGAAATCTTAGCAAAAAGAACTGATTCCTTCCTTCCTTCCTTCATTTCATTACGTTCTGAGAGCCTACCATGCATAAGCTGTGTTCTAGGTCTTGTGACAGTAGTGAATAAGGACAATTATGCTTGCTCCTTGGTGCTTAGCTTCAGGTATAATACACATGGACTAAGTGATGAACTAGATGGAGAGACGAATGAAAGACAGGAAGGGATGATGCAGGCAGATTGACACATCTAAAATCTGTGGGGAAAGGTAAGAGACACAGCAGTAGGAGTTTACAGACTGGGATGTTAGTCCCTTTAGATAATGTTATGAGAGAAAGCCTCGCTGAGAAAATAATCTTTGAGTAACTACCAAGGGTTATTAGGAAATTTCTTCTTTTTTTCATCATTTTAAAAATAGTTTCTTGGGTCAGCAAGATGGCTCAACAGGTCAAAACATTTGCTCAATAAGACTGTGACCTAAGTTATGTTCCAGACCCTATGTAAGGAGTCTGGACTGACTCCACAGTTGTCCTCTGACTTCAGTCTCATGCTGAGCACACATGGTACTTCCTCACATTAACCATAACACACACAGCGAATACATTTAAAAGACATTTTCTCTAGGAATATATACTACTTTATAGTAACTAAAAATTCATTTTTAATTAAAATCTTGAAGAAAAATTAATTACAAAATAAAATTCAAAAATTTGTAGTTCTTTTAGGCTATGTTTTTTTAAATCACACACTCCATACAAAATCACACACTCAAAAATTCTCCTGGTTAAACTCTCAGAGTGTCTGATAAAATACACATGTGCCATTATTCCTGTGTTTTGTTCTCTTTTGTTGTTGTTGTCATGATATGTAGCTCAAAGCTTCCTCAGACTGGAGATGCTCATGGTTTTGTCTCCTCAGTTACTGGATGAAGGCTCTGTGTTGACAATTATGGTAGTCACCAATCTGATTACAGAGGAAGGCCAGTTCAGGAACATTTCCACTCTTGCTAGGAGTCTTAGCTAGTGTTCTCCTTGTGGATTCCTGGGAATTTCCCTAGCACCAGGTTTCTCTTGAACCCCATAATGGGTTCCACTATAAAGATATCTCTTTCATTGCTCTCTCACTCCAGTCCTCCCCCAACTCAACCATCTTCCACTGCTGGTGGGAGTGCAAACTTGTACAGTCACTGTGGAAATTAGTATGGCCACTTCCTAGAAAATTGGGAATCAATCTACCTCAAGACCCAGCATTTCCACTCCAGGGCATATACCCAAAGGATGCGCAGTCATACCACAAGGACACCTGCTCAAATATGTTCATAGCAACATT